CCAATTCTCAGCACGCACTCGGTTATTGTTTGTCAATAAAAATCTCGATCGTATCACCAGACTTATTCAATTAAGCACTTCACCATCGCCAAACTTTGTATGATGGCAATTTGGCGAAGAGAGTGAAAAAGGCATTCGCAAAGTTGGACGAACAATCTGGATCTGCACCGGCGGGTCTGATTTTATGGAGAGAGAACAAAACGACGAGACCGCAAATAACCGTTTATACGATCGGTTTATTTTCGCGAAAATGCTTTAATGCCGCTTCAGCAGTCAACGCGGAAAATTCCGAATGATGTTGGCACAGAATAAACATGCGGTGGAAAATTTATTTGCAGACTAGAACAATTTCACAGGATAATCACTTACTGCGGTGGGAAAATTTATACCGAAATCTGTGCGTAGGCAAATCGCATTATATTCTCCCTGCAAGATGTTTCGCCCGCAGCTTTGAAAGGGGGACCTTCCCTTCCTTATCTCTACCCCAAAGTGTTGCTCGAAATATGAAGAGCAGCTCGCACTTTTAGGCCATTGTAATGTTATGGGAAGTCCCAAAAGCGGGGGTGCACATTATCTGCGGCAAAACTTGCAACGCTTTCGCACTACTTGTGTTTATCTTGAGCTGTTGCTTCTGCCGGACACTTTTTCATTCACTTCAAAAGGCAAGAAGCCGCTTTGCGACTGACACAAAATCACTCTGCCATAGTTGGATGGCTTTTGGACGCGCCCAACTTTGTCATCCGCTTAATGACTTGCGACAAATTTCTCTTTTTCCCTCTCTGGTCCTTGTGATAGTCGGGGATTTGATTGTGTTCCGCTATTATTTCTGAAAATAGCCTAAAGCTTTCAAGCTGGAATGTTTTGGGTAGCACAAAACTGTTATTTTAAAAGCAAAAACTCATCTGTAAAACAATTAAATAGCATTTTCCTTATTTTTAATGCTTTTATTTATTTATTTTTTTTTTTTAATGTCTTAATAAATAATATATAATAAATATTTTTACAACGGCCAAATTATTGCATTTTTAGTCTTCTTTTTCAGCGCATAGATGATAGAAATGGCATTATATGTAAATTAGTTTCTGATATAATTTAAGTTAAAACTAAACTCAAATCAAAGTGACAGGAATTCATACTTTAAAATTTTTCAAAGATAATATAATTTTATTACTTACAATTAGATCAATTTGCCAGTTTCTACAGATTTAAAACAATAATTAAAAATTTTTTGAGTAGATTAAATTATTTTATGTATGCGCTCCGCTCGCTCAATTGTGCACAGCCGGCTGCTGGGTCGCGAGGAAGACTGCATTGATTTTTGTAACTATAGCAATAAAACTTGAAAATTAGGCTAAAAAAAGTGATTTTTTTTACTAAAAATTACTTTAAAGCAATGCCGATGGCTGATAAGCACCCAAAAGACGCGCCAGTGTTCTTTGTTGAATTTCATGTTTATCAGCGAGGAGGAATGCATTGATTTTTATAACTAGGAAAAAAAACTTGAAAATTAGGCTAAAAAAAGCGCCACCCTTGGGCAACTATAAGTTTGGTCGCGGCGCTTTTTCCTTCAGGATAGTGAAGCCTTGGAACGACCTGCCACCTGCCCTTAAAAACTGTTCCTCAAGCAATTTTCCCTCCCTCTGCAAGTAGCATATGTGGCAATAATTCAAGAGTTAAAATTTTAAAGTGTTTGTGATATCGATCTTTTTTTCCGATAGTGTGGGTTTGCCGCGGCGCCTGTGTCACTTTTGATGTCGGTCGTTTTAGCAGACATCTGCTAGTTTTAAACCCTTTTTTCTCTTTTTTCCAATTTAAAATTTTTAATTGAAATTTAAAATAATAATAATTTAATGAATAAAATGATATTTTTTTCGTGAATTTATATAAAAAATATGTGATCCCTAATAACACGTAAATTTTATTTGAAATATTAGAGGTCTTTAGTTGAGATTAAATCAGGGAATACTAATAGTTGCAAAAGTAAAATAAAATTTAAATTGAATTAGAATATTGTTCATTTTATTCGATTTTTTTACTGTGCTAAATGATCTGCTAGCAACAAAAAATTTTATGACACGCAAGATGAAACTCCAAATGAATGTTAAAAAAACAAGCATATAAAAAGTAAACACGTTATCTATATTTTGGCTTGACCTGGAAATTCGAGACTCCCATATCCATAAATCATCTCCACCGGGGTCCGAAAAAGCTCATTTTGGAGCACCGAATTTCACTCTTTGGCCGAAGCAAAAACGCAAAAACATGCTCCTCTCGTTCTACCATAAAACACGGACCTGGGTTATTCGGCTCCCTGTAAAATTTTGTTGCTCTCCTCAAAAAGAGAGACGTGCAGTTGCTTTTTCTGTTTGTGTGCAAAAGCAGGCGCGTTGCTTCTGTGGTCTGTACCTGCAATTTGGGCATTTGGCCAAAACACGGAACAAAGCAGCGCGTGCTTTTCCTTCTGCTTTGATGATTTTGAAGGTTTGTTAGCAAAAGCTTTGGCCCGGCGCTGCTTACAGAACAGCACTCCGGCGCCGTTAGACGGATTTTAAAGACCTGTTTAATGGCGCATCAAAACGTGTTAAAACTGATGCGATAAAAACAGGCCGGGAAACCGCAAATCGCAGGAAGTGTGATGTTTTGTTATTGCATAATGTTTAGTTCATCAAGACGTAATTGACGGTTTATAATGTTTTTTAAGTTGTATTAAATGGTGGGGAAATTATGCACTTATAAAATTTAAAAATATTAAAACAAATATAGAAATTATAAAAAAATTATTCAAAATGATAATTTTCAAATAATTCAGGACAAACATGATAGGAGAAATAAATAATATTTTTAATTTCTAAAAAAATTCTTTAAATTATATCAGTTTTGTCACATTTAAGATTCTGGCAAACAAACAAATTCAAAAGTTGAAATTCTAATTGTTTTTTTTTTCTTTACATGTTTCTCTATTAAATTACAATTTTTGGCCAAATTTGTTACAATTAATGATAAGTTTTCAAAGCGAAGCTTTTTTCAGTTGGTTTTATGTCTGCCGCTGATGAGTTGGCTCTAATATTTGAATAAAAAAAACCTTTGAACTTGTACGAAATAAAGATCAATTAATAAAATTTCATAAAGTTTGAAAATTTGGAACCCTTCGCAAGAAGAATTTAAAAAGTTGTATATAATTTAATGGAAATTTCAACTTCTATCTGATCTTCAGTTTATTTCAAGATAATGACGGGAATATTAAGTTGAAACCATTCTTAAAAACGCCGTTTTTGTCTTTTTTTTATCACCCACTTAAAAAACACCATCACCATCAAGTGTCAAGTGGGATTCTTTGTCTCGGGGCCAACATAAAATTATAGAGGGCAACTTTTTATGGCTGGGGTTTACTTTTACAACACACGAGACACGAGGCAAGGCGGAAACGTTTTTCAGTGCACGGCACCTTTGACTCTCTCTTCTCCATTCGGCAAAACATCACGTTCGTCGCCCTTGAAAAGGACGGTTAGGCAGCCGGTTTAGCGTGCAAGTCTGGCGGGCTAGTCTAGAAAGTGATTCGCGGTTTGGTCGGCTGCGCAGAGCAGTTCGCGAGCAAATGAGCTGGATGAAAAATTAGGATCCGTCAGTCAGAAGCAGTTTTCGCTCCGTTTCTCTTTTAGAACGCAAAATGACACACAGTATGCTCTCCCTCTGAAAATTGATTTTCAGTGCGGACGTGCAAACGTCGGCCCAATTATAATTTGCCAGCGAAATAAACACAGACACGGGCTTTTTCATTTGCAAAGGCTGGTATTTGCGGTGTTGAAAAGAATATTAAATTCTATCATATTTTTCCTCCTGTTCGTTTTTTTTTATTTTTGTAAATTTGCCGTATATACATAAAATCCTTTTGGTACAAAGTTACAAACATAAAATGGAACGCACGAAAAACTACATGGATAATTTTGCTCTGTTTTTTATTGATGATTCCTATATTAGGTTCACTCAAGTTCACTTAATTTTTACATTGTAATTTTATTTTTACTAATATTCTTCTGCAAAATTTCTGAAGGATATTATATTAAATTTTAACTCATTGTGTTGGCATATCATAGTCAAATTCATTTACAAACACACGGAATGATGATATAGGTTTTTATCAAATTTCTAATAGAATTTAAACAGCCAACACTTAATTATTTATATATTTTTTATTTTAAATATAAATTAAATGATAATTTAAGTTAATACTTCATTTTACCATAAAATGATTGAGAAAATAATGTATATCAAATTTATTTTCATTTAAATTCATTTATTTAAAAATTAGTAAAAGTAAAATCTATAAAATGCTGGGCATAATTGTCAAAGCATTAAATAAATGCATTAGTTTTATTTTTTATAAATTGTTTATAAATATTTTAAACCTTTAGTGCATGTTTCAGAGTTTTGTCAGAACTTGGTGGAACATTAAAATAATTCACAGATCCCAAATTCTGTCCTCTTTGTTGGAAAAGGAATTAAAATTTTTATGCCAGGGAGAACAATTTAGCCATCACGTTCTCCGAGTTATTTCTCTTCAACGTTGCAATACAGTACACACTGTATTTCCCTTTCGCTGAAACCTATTTTTATTTTCGTTTATATTTTTTCCTTCCGATAATGCAAATCGATCTGGGTTCGTCTCGAGTGCGGAGAAATCCGTGCGTCCATTAAATCCACCGCAGAGCAGGTTCGTCCGATCTATTTCCAGCCACGCACATTATATCTTCGGCTTTTTTCGGCACACGCAGAATATCGGTGAGAAGCGGCGGCGGCGGCGGTTCGGGGGCGGCGCGCGGAGAGCACGTTTTGCGCGAGCTGCTGGGGCTGGTGCGGATCGATGGGGGGTGCAGGAGACGTGGTGGTGCAGAGCGGGCGGGCGGGCGCGTTGGCAGCCCTGATTTGGTGCTAAGCAAGGTCCACCTCGCGAGCCAGAGTGGGTCTGTCGCGTGCCGTGCTTCACGTCGTCTTCGCCCTCTCGATGACTCGAAGGCTCGTCCGAAGCCACTGAGGGCACCGAGGGCGTGTGCCGCGGGTTGCGTTCAACCGCGTCCGCCTGCAGACCACGTGACTTTGGTCTCACATTGCGGAGGACGATCGACTGTGTTGCGAAGTGAGAGTGGCGAGTACGCGTACGTGCGGTCCCCGTGAGTAGCTCTGGAAGAAAATTTTCAAGAAAATAATAATTTACCTAAAAAAATTGCGAAAAATATTTAAATTTTCTCCGATTTAATTTTTGAATATAATTCAAATGTTGAATTTGTCTTTGAATTTTACAGTAAATTTTCGTTTTAAAACCAGAGCAGGGACGTTGATTTGAAACTCTTTGAAACTTTCGTGAACTTTCTCGAAGAGAGAATTTTTTTTTTTAATTTTTTTTCTCTCTCCACCGGGCCAAGAAGTTTTCGCGGTCAGTGAGTGCATGAGCTCTTTGAGCGCAAGGACACCTTCTACTTCTTCTTCTTCTCTTCTCGCTCTTTGAAGCCGAGTTTGCGTTTGGGCCTCTTTGTGTCCGCTTAGCCTGATTAAGGGCAGCGTTGGCGGCCTACGAGGACGAGGGTTACCTCGCGGGGGTGGACGAACTGAATGGCGACGATGACGACGACGAGGCGGCATCGTCGCCGTCGCCCAGGGTCACCGTGACCGCCGCCCCCGAGGGGCCGCGCCGCGAGTACAAACTGAAGAAGGCGTGGGGCTGGTACAAGATGCTGAAGAACGCCGAGGAGGCGGCCGCCGCCTCCGACGGCCCCCGCGAGAGCAAACAGTACAGGGTCAGCTTTCAGCAGCACCTGCAGGGCATGTCGTCGCAGGCGCCGCTCAGGGCGCCGACGGGCAGGTCGCGCAGCATGAGCGCCTGGAGTGACATCAGCAGGGCCAGTTTTCGCATGGACGAAAGGTAATCACATTTTAATCAATCACTTTTCTTTGAATTGACATTATCGGGTTTGAATTTCGAAAAATAATTTCCAGTATAATTTTAATTGTGTTCAATCAAATTTGTTATCATTTTCACATTTTTCAATTGATATTAATTAATACCCATATATAGCAGATGAAATTCTAGTTTAAAATATGTTATCCAACTGCAATTTTGTGAGTAGATAATTTATTAATATTTAATTTAAAAAAGCAAATAACGAAAATGTATATTCCACCAACATTATTATCAACAATAAAATGTGGTGTGTATCTTGATATATAAATTATCTTTTAATAAAAACAATTAAAAATTATATTACAATAAATAGCATTAAACATAAAATTATAATATTAAAAAATTAAATATTGTTATTTATTATTATTTATAATGCAAATATATATTATTCATTTAATTTTACTTTGTCCATGAATATGGCTCAAGCAACATAATATGCCAATTTTACCCCTTTCATTTCAATAGTGGGGGCAGATAAAACTCGCGCCCGGTGGTTCTATCATTTTACGATTATTGCAAACGTTGCGGTTTACGTCACAAAACGCGGTTACAGTTAATTGTGTTTATGTGGAGTGTGTATTTCATTAAAATTTTATTTATGCAATCAATAAAAGCGCCGATGGAGACATCCCGGGAGTGTGATGAGCGCACAAATGCGAATTCCATCGGCGGCAGAACTGAATTTGATGAGTTCATGAATTGATTTCCTATCATCAAAGGCGGAAGATGCGGGGGCGTGAAATCCGACAGCTGCATAAATAACATTTAGACCGTGTTTGATTGGACCGTTCCGCGGGAAGGGATATGAAATTTCAGCAGAGACATTAGCCAACCCTTTATGTAGGCCTGTGCCGCGTGCAAAATTTCGCTCGTTATAAAATCAGCTTTGAAACGAGAGTAATTTCCAACGGGTAGGCTCTGATTACGTTTTGCAATTAATTTCAAAAATTTTGATGTTATATTCTTGTGAAATTTAATGAGATTTAAAACAAATGTAAAATATTCGTGCTACTTTATAAAAAAAAATCACTTTTTATTTAAAAATTAAAAAAACAGACATTTTTAACCTTTAAATATTTCAAGCATTTGTAAAAAAAATGTAATTTAATTTCACCTAGAGGATTAAATAAAATTAAAAACAAACGTATTCAGCTAATTGCTTTTTTTAATCTTCACGGGTTGAATTTAGGAGGTTTAAAAGTCCATTTCCGGGGATTTCCGCGTACCACAATTTTGATTAATGGAACCACTGATATTGTTTGCGGCCAATGTTGCAGGCCATTGCAAGTATCATTAGATGACATAAGCTGCTTAAAACGTGTGCCGAGACTTAATTGCACACGACGGGGCGCAAAATGCAAATTGAGTTTGATGAAAATCCAATTAACACACTCTCGGCTGCGGCGCCGCCCACAACGTTGATAAAGTTCCGCAACCGCGCACACGTTAATTCAAATCTCACCTGGGGAAAAATTTTAATTGTACATGCGCAACTCTCCGCGTGGTGAAAGTGTAATTTGAAAAAAAAAATTATATATATAAAATGGACTGTGTGAAAGAGCGTTGAATTCAAACAATTGTGTTGTTTGTTCTCCCGAGAGAAAAGGAAATGCTTTGAATATTAATGGAGTGGCGTCGTCTTGTGTTTATGTGTCACTCTGCAAATTCTATCAACGCTTCCGAGAACACATCTCACAATATTTGCTCACCGTTCGCGAGTAAAGCTTCTCACGCCTGCTTATCAAGTGTCTCGAAACTTGCATCTATTTTTCACTCGACACCCCGCAAAGCGGATTGCGCAAAGTGGAAAACGTTTTACCTCATCTTCTCTCCAGGGAACAACCCTAATATTCAGAAACAGTTTTTTTTCATACGCATAAATCTGTCGAGAAAAATAAAAGCAATAAGAACAACGTCTCTTTCTTCAAAAAACTATTACCCTTAAATTGACCCCAATTTTATGAAAAAAATTGCAAGTATTAACTTATTTGTGTAAATTTGCAAGTAAATTAATTTACAATTAAAAGTTTTATTTCGCTACTATTTTAAAATTATACTTATTTTTAGAGTAATATAATATTATTAATTTTTTAATATAATTATTATTTTACTTTAATTGTGCTTAAAATAAAGATTAACAATGAATTTAGTCTTGAAAAGCACCAAATTTTTTTCAAAACGATTGCAATTGTTTTGAGCTACTTTTAAGTTTCTGACAGAAAAAAATTGTTTATGAAATAAAAGTGGGAATAAATTTAATTGGTTTTCAAATGAAAAACACTTGCCTATTACTTCTGTAATTATTTATTCCCCCTAAAATTTTTATTACAATTCCTATGCAATTAGTTTTGCTATTAATATTATGATTACAACTGTGACGATTATTTGCTGTAAATGTTTCCACACGTTGCCAAAATTGATTATCCTAGTTACTGAAGATTATCGGCGTTCCCTTGTCAAAGGGTTTTTTTCTTCATAAATATCGCTGGTTTGTATTATTTTGATGATTATATTCCGTGAGGAATGAAATTATTACCCCAAGACATATTTTTTTGCCATGTCCCCAATGTCACGCTGCGACCATTAATCTTGAGCCAAGATATTAATCTCTACTTTTCAGCGAAAAGCTTTGCTCGCCTTTATGGTTAAATCTCGTGACACTTCACTCGCAGGGTCAGACCACCCGCCTTGCAAAAGCAACCCTTAATCAACATCTCAGTGTTAACGATAACAAAGGTGTTACATTTGTTGCACTCAACGACTTTTTGTATCGCAAGTCTCGCTGCTTCGTCCATTATTAAAATTTGTTTCCACCCAAGTGAGTGGATACGCAGCCGTTAATAATTCAACGGCGGACACGGAACGCCGTCGGATTGAATTAGGCTCAAGTGTGTTTGCCAAAGCAATTCAAACCCGAGCGCTTCTGCTGCCGGCAAAAGCAGAGAAACTGACTGAAAGAGCGGCTTCTTTGAACTTAATGACCTCTGAAATGCTTCTTTTTTGCTACTTTTGAAGCAAGTCCATCCTTCGTTAAAGGGGGTTTAAAAAAATTAGGAATGAAGAGGGTAAAAATCAACGCTCCTCAAAAGAGTTCGTTTGGACGGAAAAAACGGAGATTTAATCAGACATTTTAGTACTCATACCTCTCATTATTTTCCCTTTCTTGGAAAACGCGAGGGCTTGAAACACTTTGGAGAGAAAAAAGCTTTTAAAAATCTGTTTTAGGACATATTCCTCCCACCCAAAAAAGGTGTAAAAAGTGCAAATGGCAGTGAAATAGGACTTTCCTAAACATCACAAAACTTTTTAACACAAAAAAGGTTTTTCTCTATTGTTTTAGAGGATTTGCACCTACTGAAAAGTTTTATGCAAAATTTTGATAGATTTTTTATTTCAATTTTAATTTCTTATTTGGCAGCTTTCTAGGTAATGAATTATTAATTATATACTTTTAAATTTACCCTTAAATTTTTTCGCACCAGCATCAAGGGAAAAATAAAAATATCTTTGATTTTTTAATTAGTACTGCGACTAATCGCCATGACGTGGAATTACGTTCCGAGACAACGAGATATTTGAGACAAAGCCGGTGTAAAAAAGTTAGAAAAATTCCTGTTGTGATAATAAACAATTTTAATTGAGAGCGAAAGCGTAATTCCAAGTCAAGGCGATTAGTCGCAGTACTAATTAATTATTTCCCGTTTCGAGTGGTTTCTTTGGGTTTTAAATTCTCTAAAAACTTTTATTTTTTATTTAAAATAAAGATAATTAAAATAAGACGTTTTGAACGTCTTTCATTTGGGACTTTCCAACTATATTTTGAGCCTAGAAACGTATATTTATAAAATTTGTGTAAGAAATAAATTACTTTCTTATTTCTTCGCTGAAAATATAGTTTTCTTTGCCTTTTCGCAAAGCTCTTTTTATTATTTTTCCATCTATTTTTTCTGTTTCTATTGACAATCAACGATTATTTTTTGTTCTCCAGGTGAAAGAGTTGATTTTGCTCTTTTAACCTACTTTTATAACTTTCAAATCTCTTTATTAATCTGAATAAAAGAAAGGAAAAAAAAGTTGAGTGAGCAAAACTTTTGACCGTATCTTCTGCTGAGAGTCTTCCGTAACTTTCCAATAATCCAGCTTAACTTTGTAGATATAATACCTATTCATCCATTCGTTATCAGCAATTTCCATTCAAATGCCTCTTCATTCATCATCACATTATCATGCACGATCTATCACGTGCCATTATCTGTTTAATGAGCGGACTATTTGACGTACATCAAAGCTGAATAATGAATAAGTAGCTCGATCGATTCTAGAAAAAAATTGTACACTCGGAAATAAATTACATAATTAAAAGCTAAGCCGTTGTTTTAACACGAGTCTGGCGAAAAATTGATGGCGAACGCGGCTTAAACGCGCCAGCAAACAAACAACTCGGGCTTCACATAATGAGTCTCGGAGAGTTTCGGGCGGAACAAACTTTCGGATTGTGCGTTCAAGATTTAATATAAACACACGCGTTTGCGTCAGAGCCGTAAAATGCGCCTTTCCACTAATTAAACTCGTGAATTACAAGCAGAAATCCAAACACACATCGACTTGAAGGTGAATTTCAATTTTGAAGAAACAAACCGAGCGTCGACTGCGCTCTTCATTTTGGCCCTGCCGCCGCCGCAAATCCATCGGGATTTGAGCAGAATGAGATGATTCTTTTATTCTCGGCGACAACGCAATCATTTCGCTCTCGCCGCCAAATGGAGTCGACGAGAGAGAATTTTTTATCTTTGCTTCTTCGCTCGGAAACTGCTGTTCGCACTTCCTCGTATTTTTTTTATTCTTGCTGTACCGTCATATGGACTGACTCGCTGGAAATTTTTTTGAGTCCACTGTTTTTTCCGACTTTTATTGTTTGCGTGAGTGTGTTTCTGCCATGTCCGTTCTTATGCAAGATAAAC